AAAAAAATAGATCATAACTAAATTTATGCTATTTTTAAGCCAAAATTGTTACACAAACTCTACAGCTTAAGGGATAATGGTTTAAAATTTTTATTAATAAAAAATGAATACGTTTTGCTATTTAGTACTGTAGAAAGTACTTAAAAGTTTGCAAAACAAGAGTCTTTGTATACTGTATATTATTCAATCTACTCTTTCCAACAATCATCTAGACCAAAATTTTTCACCAAAAAAAAACAAAAATTTTGTTAGAGAGGAGAAGACCTGCTTATAGAATGGTTTATATAAAGATCAACTTGCTTCTACGGGGGACTTTTTTACATATTTGGTATGCAAACCAGAAGTATTAGAAAACAAGATAACTGGCAGAAGTTGGTGTCCTTGGTTCCAAAATTCTGGAAAGAAGGTGCTTATAAGAAGTTAGGACCTCTTATCAACGAAGTAATCCATAACGCAAAAGAATAAAATAGAAGAACAACAACAAATGAGTTTTTTTAACAACACTCCTTGGAAATTTGAAGATATTTTTTTGAATAACATACAGCTGGCATGGTTTGAAAGGAGCCTTAACATGAAACATGGAAAAAAAAACCTATTATAAGCATGGTACTTGTCGTTTAGAGGTAGTTCTCATACACTATCTGCCGACAAGTTTAGAGTTTATCACTTACCAAAAAAACTTAGTACTATGCAGGCTTGGGTAGATATTTTTTTAGTATTTCCTCTTGGTTTTTTTTATCACCCTCTCACTTTTGCCATTCTTTTTAAAATTTTCGAAAAAAAATAGGCATTTGGGCTTACCCCCTCCAAAAGATCAGCATTGTTTACACTTTTTTAATTTAGATATACTCAGTAGAATGCAACCACGTGTTTGTTTTGTTTATCAATACGGTGCTATGGTATGAAAAAGAGATCGGTACTCCTATTTAGGAGATATCTGAGTTTCGTCGGTACCTGGAACAAGTCCTCTACAATAAGACGACGTCTTACAATCAAGATATATTAATTAGTTGCAATTATTATATAATTTTTATTCTTATGCTTGACACAGGCTATAATAGTGTATCATGGCTACCTTTCTTTTTTTTCACTTTGTTTATTTATGTTAGACTATTTTAGAATTTGTTGAAAGTTTTTTTTTCTCACCATGAGATATTTTTTTTTTTAAAATGTTTATGTCTTTCATAAACATGGCTTTATATTTTTTCTTTTATGTACAAATAAAGGTTTTAATTGTGTTGTCGGGCTTAGGTAGAAGAAATCTAAAAGAAGAGGAGGTAGTCATGATGGGCGGCAAGGTTCACTATTGAGAGCCGGGTTATATCCAATTGCAGAAGGGGTCCAGAAGAAGAGAAATCTTGCTATAGCAGGTCGAATATAGGTACCAATTGGGGTAACTGGGTTAGTCTTAACTTGTAATTTAGGTAATATTAGATTTAATGCTATGGCGTTTGTCATTTAGAGATAGTTCTCATATGCTATCTGCCGACAAGTTAGAAGTTTATTACTTACTTTTTTAAATGCAATTTAGTATAAAATTTTATGAATCTAAAAAAGTCGTATGAATTATAAAAAAAAAAATATACTGTATATTATGACAATATAAGTAAAAATGTTATACTGTATACAGTATTTGTAAAAATCACTAAAATATTTTAATTTTGAATTGTTAATAGCAAAAAAAAAATACAAATATTTGATTTTATATTACATGATTGACTTGTGATGATTTTGTAGTCATGTGATCTAGAATGGGCATGCCTATAGGCATGAGAGACATGCCTCAACCTAATGGCATGCCCATATGGGTATGCCAAATTATTTACCCATGCCCTGAACCCTACCATTGACAAAGAGGTCACCTTAATATCGAAAAAAATAAATAAATAATATATATATATATATATATAGTAATATATATACAACAGTATATATATATATAGTAATATATATACAACAGTATATATATATATATACATAATGTACTGTATATAATATATATAGTATATATTGTAGTGTAGTAAAAGATATAAAAATAAAATTTTTTAAAAAATAGATAACGGGAATGACGTAATTAGCAGTGATAATCGTATAACTTCTAATAACCAAATAAAAACTCGACAAATTTCATTTCACTACAATAGTGATATATTTATGTATATCTGGTCAGGACTACGAAGTGGAACTTTTCGCCTGTAAAAACAATTTTTAGTAAGATTCAACTTATAGAGCTTACTACTCAAAAACTGTTCTGTCATTTTACTTTAAGAGAAAAAAAAATTTTACTATTTGCACGAAAATTAATCTAAAATCAATAAATCTAACAAATTGTCCCGAAACCTTCAATTGAAAAGATTTGACCAACTTTAAAGACATGTATACACAACCGCCACCGTCAAATTCCCAGCAAACCACACAGCGTCCTAGTATCAGTCCTCCACAACCACAGCAGCGGCCTATGGGACCTAATGTTGGAGTTGCAGCATCGCAGGCCCAACAAAACTTTTCTGGATATCGGCCAGTCGGGCCTAACATGCGCCCACCGCCACAAGTAGTTGCCGGGATCCCTCCAAATACGAGACCGCCAAATGTCACTGGTGGGCGTCCTCCCACAAATTTCGTTCCCCAGGGTTTTCCAGGATCACCCGCTCAAGGTTTTCGCTCACTCTTTTTTATTGCATTTGCATTAAAGTAAATCACCTTGATCTTATAGATTAAGATACATCATAAGACATATAAACTGATGTTTCTTATCGGATCATGGATCATGAAGCTACTGTGAATTCTGATTTCACACTTATTCATATGAATTCAGGAATTAGACCCACTATACCTGTGCAGGGTCCAACAACAGGGATTCCACCTGGACCACGACTACCAATGGCACCACCTTCGGTTGGTCCCGGATATCAACAAACATCTCAATATACTCAGCCTCCGTCAGGAAATGAAGGAATTGATAATATTTTACCGCATATAAGTAATGTTAGAATAAGCCAAGATCCTACTGCCCAGAATCAATCTTCTCAGATCGATGTAATGTATTTTATCAGTCCAAACTTCTCTTTGTTATGGTGAATCATTTTCATTTATTGCATATTGTTTTTGACGTTGATTTATATATATTATGTCAGCAGAAAGCCAGATCTTCAAAATCAAACCGTCCTGCGCGTTTATATCATCACGATTCAACAAACAATGCGCCACAGACGGGACAAGCACCAACGCAACCCATGTATGCTTCAATGGTTCCACAGTCTACTCCCACTGGACAAGGAATAAATCAATCTCAGTATCCGCAACCTCCACAGCTTCCCGTTCCTCAACAACCGCTAGCACCCCAGTATACGCAACCTCCACAGCTCCCCGTTCCTCAACAGCCGCCAGCACCCCAGTATACGCAACCTCCACAGCTCCCCGTTCCTCAACAACCGCCAGCAATGGTACGCCCTAACGCCCCCAGGTCTCGCATTGACCCTAATCAAATTCCATCACCGGTAGTTGTTCAAGAACAGGATCAAAATTTATTTGACGAGCAACCGTATATGACTTGTTCTAAATCAACAATACCGCTCGCGAGTACTAATTTTAGAGCCATTGATGAAGGTAATCTTAAGTAAATATACAAATCGATTAAATAATTAACATTTTTTACAGAATACCAAAACTTATATGCCAACTTCTCCAAAGGCAATTCCAATCCTAGATTTATTAGATTGACTCTATATTCTATACCACATACTGAAGAGCTTCTTCAAACATCCCATTTACCTCTGGGTGTTATATTACAACCTTTGGCCAAGTTGAGAGACGATGAGGTTCTTTTTTCGAGTATTAATTTTCATTTTTAATTTTTCACATAATTGAAGATTGACATTTTTTCAATTAGGCTCCAATTGAGCTTGTCGATTTTCAAGACAATGGGCCGGTTCGTTGTAGACGGTGTAAAGCATATATAAATCCCTACGTAATTTTTGTGGAAGGCGGACAAAAATTTATATGCAACATGTGTTTATTTTCTAATGAAGGTTTGTTTTTCATGCTAGAACATTAAACGTAATGTAACTCTTTACCTAATTCGCTATAATGAAATCTAATACTTTATTCACATATTTCCAAAGTTCCTCCGGAATACTTCTGCAACTTGGACATGAATGGAAGACGTGCGGATGTAGATCAAAGACCAGAGCTAAAATACGGGACTGTGGAATTTACGGCACCACAAGTGCGTTATAATGCTGAATTGGTGTGAAAATATTAATATACATATATCATATATACTATTTATATTTTTTTATGTACAGGAATATTGGGCTCGACCACCTTCTCCTTTATCATATATTTTTGCAATTGATGTTTCCTGGAATGCCATCAAAAGTGGAATGCTTGCAAAATGTGTTGAAACCATTAGAGATATTTTATATAATTCTCCGAATAGTATTCCACCTGGAGGGAAAATTGGCATCATTACTTTCGACAAAGATGTTCATTTTTATAATTTGCAGGTATTTATCTGTTATATTATAATTCTGATTGAATAACAGTAAATTGATATTAAATATTTGTTGCATTGTTGCATTAAATAGCCGCAGTTAGAACAGGCACAAATGTTGGTCGTATCTGATGTTAATGATGTCTTTGTTCCGCTTAATTCGGGGCTTTTGGTTGATCCAAAGCAATCCAGGTAACGTGTTCGGTAATAACCGTATGCTAGGTCAGTAAAGATATATTAATGTCAATTTTTAACTATAAAGAGTCGTAATTGAAGGTCTCCTAGAATCTTTACCAGCAATGTTTGCTGAAAACAAAATTATAGAACCTGTATTAGGTGCTGTAATTAAAGCAGTTCATATGGCTTTGGTAGGGTCAGCAGATTAAAATGTTGTATTTTTTATCGGTTTAAACGAAGTGTTTGCCACATAATTAAATGCATTTTTACCCGTTTTGTTTAGGATGGAACTGGTGGTAAACTCTTAATATTTCAAACAGCTCTGCCAACATTTGGACCAGGGGCTATCAGACACCGTGAAGATTCAAAGCTTTATAATACTGATAAAGAAAGGACACTATTTGGTCCACAAGATAATTATTATAAGACATTAGCAGTCAATTGTGTTGATTCTGGAATTTGTATCGATTTATTCTTATTTCCCAACACGTATGTCGATGTTGCAACTATAGGTAAACATGTTTTTTTATAAATATGCAGATAATATTTGCCCATTAAACATATTAATATTTTATGTAGGATTGCTATCGTGTTTAACTGGAGGTGAGACTTACTTTTATCCCAACTTTGATGCTCAAAGAGATGGAGAAAAATTCGTTCATGAGTTGAAACAGAATTTCTCCAGAGAATTCGGGTACAACGCGCTCATGAGAATTCGATGTTCTAATGGTTTGTATTTTACTAATATCCATAATAAAATTGCATTTAAGATAATTGTTGATTTTAATTTATTTATTAGGTCTTAAAGTTGCTGATCATTTCGGCAATTTCAATATGCGAAATGCGACCGATATTGAACTTGCAGGCATTGATAGTGACAAAGCATTTGGTGCTTTGCTTAAATATGACGGCAAACTAGACGAAAAAACGGACGCATATATTCAATGTGCCCTTTTATACACGACATCAACGGGACAACGTCGAGTACGGACTCACAACTTAAGTGTTACTGTAACACAACTTCTCGGCAATGTTTTTAGACATGCTGAAATGGATACTACGGTGAACTTCTTAGCGAAGCAAGGTAAGTTCACTTAAGCCATGTTGATGCTAGACGTGTGATATCGTTACGATATATAAAATATATATTATGTTAATCCAATAGCGGTATCAAACACAATAACTAAGTCTTTACGTGATATACGTGATCAGCTGACAGACAAATGTGTGAAAATACTAATGTCTTATAGAAGACACTGTGCGTCTTCAAGCTCGCCTGGACAGTTGATCCTACCTGAGGCATTCAAATTATTTCCCCTATACGCTTTAACGATGCTGAAATCCAAAGCTCTTCGGGGCGGTAAGAAATTGCAATATTCAACTTTGCAATACAATCGTACGATTTATATATAATAAATTGATAAATGTGAAAATTGTAGGTGCTAATCTTACAAGTGATGTCCGAGTGCATTGCATGCGTTTAATAAAGAGTATTGGCGTATCGGAAAGTATCGCTATATTTTATCCGCGACTTTTTCCTGTCCATAATCTTTCTGATCAGGTTTGTCAAGAGACTTTCTATTTCTCTTTCGAAAGGCAAATTTTAACGATATTAATATAGGTTGGATATCCGGATCAACGTGGTATAATCAAATTACCTCCGTTAATGCGTGTGTCATATGCGAGATTTGAAGAGAGTGGAGCTTACCTGTTAGGTTTGGAAATTTTAATATTATAAATCTTATATATCGTGCTATATACGTTCTGTCGTTCCGTTAATGATTCATTTTTAATATAGAAAATGGTCAGGTGCTGATGTTTTGGTTAGGTAGACAAGTATCACAAGATTTTATACGTAATGTTTTTGGAGTTGAATCTATCGAACTTATTGATCCAAAAATTGTATGTTGTATATTTATGTTTAAACTTTGCGTAATTTGATGATAACGACTTTATTTGCTATTTACCTATAATAGTGCGTCCTTCCTGTTTTCGAAAATCAGACATCGGCACAAATACGTTCTATCATAGCACATTTACAGTCACAAAGGTCAAAAGATTTGCGTTTAACGATTGTAAGAACGCAAATAGATCCTTCAGAACTTGAATTTAACAGCTTGCTTGTTGAAGATGAGAACAACGGTGCTATGTCATATGTTGATTATTTGTGCTACATTCACAAGCAGATTCAAACAGAAGTTAGTTTAAGTGACTGATAAATGGTGCATCATTTTCTTCTGTATTACTATTACCTTTCGTGCATCGTAATATACTCGGTTTTAATAATTGTTTAAAAGATATAGAGATCACGAATAGTTAATGGACAATTTAGCGTTTATAGGTTTTATCAATTTATTGCCTGGTATTTAATGGTTGGTGATATATATTGCATCAATTACTTTGATGCTAGTTATATATATATATTCGAAGAACAGTAACCCCGAGCAATTTTTGTGCTTTTAATAATTGGAAAATTTTAAATATTGAAGTATTTTACTGTATAATATTAGATTATTTGTGATTAAAATAAAATAATTTTTTTATTTACGATAGTTTGATACCAGCTGTGATTGTATGAAATATAGATAATAATAATAATAATGTATTGTCCGATTCAAAAAGTTGTTAAATGTCAATATCAAATAATTGTCCGGAGCGAAGCGGAGGACACTATGTTTTTGATAAACAGTGTCACGAGAACAATTGCTATACGAAATCTTTATCTGTTATTGCAAAAATTTGTATTAATTTGTATATAACAGTCACACGATTTGTCACATGTAAATTTTTATATATATAAAATTATAAAAAAAACATATAAACTTTGATTCCGTGATGTTTCTTCACCTACATATTAATTTAAAATTAAATTGTGCAACAATATGTAACACGA